CGGTAGCGACACTGCGGGCACATTTGTTTTATTTGCGAGTAGATCATGTCACAACATGCATTATTTGTTCATTGTTACATCAAATTGCGTTACTAATTATTACTAAAAAATATCACTGTATCACTTTATATGAAAACTGTTCGCCTAGATCGGACGGCAGACCTTTACAAGTGGTGGTCAGCAAACGCAAAACAGTATCCAAGCCTGACAGAATTCGCTAAGATTTATCTATCGTCTCCCAGCAGTAGTGTATATAGTGAGAGGCTATTTTCAGAAGCAGGTATAGTTTATGAGGAAAAGCACAATCGTTTGTTATCAACAAATGCTGAAAAAATTGCTTTCATTCATCACAACTTACCACTGATAGATTTTATGTATTAAATGTAATAATTTATGATTAAAATAAATACGTTTTTGAGTAATATGTGCGGGTTTTTTTCATGATTTGGTATTCGGTATTCGGCCGAATACCGAATATTAAAAAAAGTAGCCGAATAGGCCGAATACCGAATAGTAGCCGAATATTCGTGGCATCTCTAGTATCAATGTCCCTCTTGTACGAGTCGCCATACCAAATTTCGTATCTTAATCTTTACCCCATTCCGAGATACAGTATTAAGCTGAATAGACGCCGACACACACGCATACGGGCATATTTTTTTTGGTCAATTTTTTGAGTATTTTGGACTCGAGAGGTCTCAAAATGTAGACATTTGCAAAAAAGCTCGGAGGTTCAAATTTAACACGATTCCTTTACTTTCCCTTGTTACGTATACATAACAGCCGGAAACGTAAAAGTAAAAAATAACAGAATTAACGGCTTTAAGTTTTAAAATTTTTTAAAGGTCAACGCGACGTAAGGTTGGGAGTCGGGAGTCGATAAATTTTCCGACTCCGACACTCCATCCTTGTTTATAAATATACGGCATTTACTGATTATTCGACAGAACAATAAAATTGATGATATACAGGTAGCGGCGCACTCGGAGGGGGACCCTCCGGAGGGGCCCCGGCAAAGTAAAAGAGAAAAATACTAGCAAATTCTCCAAAAATATTTTCCTAATTAATATTATGTGGTGTCCTCTATTTCTACATTTAGCGGTGGCATAAGGTGAGAATTTTATCGAATTGGCATTACAAACTTTCCATCCGTCGACTCGGCTCCCCCAAGATTAAATATCGAGTGCGCCACCGGGCGCATTTACCTTAACTATCTGACGCCACATAATAACTCATAATAATCGTTTTGTTTAGAATATCCTCACATAAAATCCGTTTACCGAAAATAAAATTTCCGATTTCGAGGTGGCAATTGTCCGGGTAGCCTGGAGGGCATGGAACGCGAGAGAAAGTCGGAGTTGGCAACACGACTGCGGAAAAGAAAATGGCGGCAAATTTGGAGGATTCGGGCGACGGGGCCGAGATCGACGAGCGAACCGACGACAAGCCCGACAAACTGACGAGAATTCCTCTGTCCAGAGTCAAGACTCTGATGAAGTTGGATCCGGACGTCACCCTTGCCAGTCAAGAAGCCGTTCTGCTGGTGGCCAAGGCCACGGTCGGTAACGTTCCGAGTTTGAATGCGTAGAATTTCCTTCGCAGATAAATAAAAGCACATTTATATTACGACGCTTCGTATAAAAATAAATTTTTTGCCCTGAGCTATTTCCTAAATAACGTGGATGTACCGGTAGCCGATACTCGAAGGCTACGAAGTTTGAAATTTATTTACTGCAAAATTGCTTAAAATGCAAAACTTACCCGCGATGTTTCGCAGCATTACCAATGCGAATTTACCTGCGAGAACTTCGGTTGCGTTAAGTTACGGATACGTTATTATTTTTATGTATTCTGTTGACGAATTGCATTTTGTGTGATGGTGCGTCGGTACTTAAAGTTTAATGCGCCCGTGCCCGACGGCGGGTAAGATTGCCTGCGAATGGCGCCGTCGGAACCTTGACGGAGCTACGGAGCGTACCCGCGTGAGCGGAAAGGTCGAAAGTACCGCATTTCCCGATGCGACCCTCGGCCGAACGTGGCCTCCCGAAATCTGCGTACTCCGGGCGCCGTCGCATCGGAGAGTATCGGGTATACGGGGAGTCGCGCCGTCTGCTCCGCTAAATCCGTCGTGTGCTTAATGGGCGCGGTCGAGTTACGGGTGCCGCCATCGGTGTCTATAACGGATAATAAATGCGTTAACTTGTACCGGCAGAAAACTGTTTTTACCTTGAACCGGTACAACTGCCCGTTATTTCTGCTCTGTCTCGTTCCGGCTCTTCGTCGTTTGAGCCTTGGCACCCGCCTGGGGCGAGCTCCCGCACCTCTAAAGAATACGACATCGAGTGCTTTGCCGACGGTCTGGCGGGCTACTCGAAGCCGGCGCGGTCGTCCCGGCTAAATGGTTAGATGCTGTAGTCTCGGCGGAGCGTGCTGCCGATTTCGGGGACTACGTCTCGCCGGGGATCGCGTTTACGGGTGCCGTTCCTTTCGCTTTTTTGCTCCCGAGGGCGTGCTCTGTGGCTGTTAATGTCGCGACGATGTCGTTGGCGTCTGTTATCGTACCCGACGGCAAAGCCAAAGCCGTGTCGAGCTAATAGAACCTCGTGGAAATGTTATTTTTGTACAAAAATTCGACAATTGAAAAAATGAAAATAATAGAAATATTTTATAAAAGATATTTTATGCTGTGCCTATTTTTCCGCTTTGGTTCTATTAAATGTACTCGTTCGTGAGCGGATGCGGGCGATGTCTGTCCAACAAGCATTTTTTATTTGTGGAAGACCCTGTTCGTAAGGAATGACTGATCTGTTTTCTGAACGTTGTTCTTCTGCCTAAGTTAAAATTGTGGTGGGACTGTTTTTTTTTTTTTTGCACTAGACATTCTTTTGTCTGCTTATAAAAAGAAAGTGGTTCCTAAGAGTGTGTCAGACGTTTGGCCGTGTCGTCCTCGTTGAATTTTACTAGGACGTGGTTCGATTGTGTCGTATTGTGACATAATTGATGCGGAGACAGAAAAAAAGAATCTAGAAACAAAGCAATTGCCATTGATTGTTGAACTGCAATTTGAAAAAATTGTAGACCTATAAATTTCCATGGTCGTCTTTATGTCTTTTCTTAATCTCGAGAATGGAGTTAGATAGATGAAAGATGAGACTGAATATGGAAACCTTAGGGATAACAATTAACTAATATGAACTTCCGGTTTTGACTGGAAGTCACGTTATTTCAATTCCAAAATTTTTCCCTAAATGAGTTAGATGACTGGCATGACTCTATTATTAAGGAAAAGTATGGTGTACGGGGACAAGACACTACAGTACTACCATATTTACTCACATATAAGACGATCTTGCATATAGGACAACGTGTGACTTTAAAGATCAAAATAAAGAAAATTAGTTTTAATAATATAGAAAGAAAATTATTTGTATGTTTGTACATATTATTATTGCATATATATTGTAATTTTATGTCTATGAGATCGCACACTAGAAAGTTCAAATTTAAAAAGGTTCCGAAACAAATTTCATTGTATACAAATTGGAATCATTCTGATACAACAAGAAAAAGATGATAAAGAAAATTAGATTTATTAATACAATTCTAATTTTGTTTCATTTAATCACAAATAAAATATCAAATGCACGCAAGTGCACACATTGTCATGCAAAAATTACTGGCATTTTAAACTTTTAGGAAAAATCTTGTAAAATCTACAACATAATTTGTTCATGTAAAGCTGGACAATCAGGAACCTTTTTTGCCAATTCTTAACAGTCAAAACAACGCTCCGTCGATTACACTCACAAATTTCTCCAAATTCTGATTTCCGAATAATCATCTGTTTTCACATGGGAATGAATTAAAACTTATATCGGGCTCCAGTGTAATTTTGGAATTCAATTCAAAAGCTTTGCTTTTCCTATTGCTATTCATCCTCACTCCTGACAATACACAAGAATGATTCAAACAGCCCAGATAAAATACTTTTGTTTTTAAACACCAGAAGATGAGAATCTGATAAAAAATGCAAATACACAGTTTACGAAAATTATTGCAAAAGCGCAAAGAATCCTTCAATTGTGCATATAGGACCACCTAGGTTTTTGAAGCAGTGAAAAATGAATAAAAACTTTGTCTTATATGTGAGTAAATATGGTAATTTGAGGTGAAGAGTCCAACATTGTGACGATGGACTGATGGGAAATAAATAATTACTTGTTCGATCTAGTGTTTTGTTTTTTGTTCCTATTTTTTGTTAGGTGCACACAAAGCAGTTTTTTTTATTCTTGACCCCTAGGCCAAAATTGCATTAGATGCGCTCAGTTGCATCAAAGAGATACTTTAATACCTCTGTATATCGAAAACGAAGTCGTGGATTTCTATCTTTTATACTAAAATGGACCCTGATTACATTTTTGAATTCCTCATTGCAATTAATGGAAAATGGCAAAGTTTAATCAAAATTGATCAAACAGATTTTGAGAATTAACACAATTCTGTAAGCCACATAAAACAGGCATTGCTAAAGCTCTGCCTCAAATATTTTTGAAGTCTTTATTCTTCTATTAGAAACAAAATGAAAACAATTGTTTGGCAGATGTTTTAATAATCGCTGCCTGATCCCAGTAACGCAGTGCATCAACCTCAGAGATGCTGAAAGTTTATCAACAGTCTGGAAGTCCTTTTATGATAACATACAATTGAGGCAGATGTTTTGGTTTCGTAAGGTGTGGTAAGGCATGCCAAGCAAAATTAAGTGTCGTTGGCTACTGTATACATAGATATTAAGTAAGACGATGCTTTTGGTACATGCCCATGTTGTGAAGAAAATTCTTGTCGAGGTAATTTGATATTGATGTAAATGGATTCTGGTACTAAAACTTTGTCTGTGCAGCCGAAGAGTTAAGTGGCAAAATTTTTAACATTTTAAATTTAGTGTCCTTTGGCTATTAGTATATGAATTTAAATTATTAAAAAGATATGTCTATATTTTTGAGTAATGTATTCAAACACACTTGATTTGGTAAATTTTGCAATTTTTGTGTAAGCTATACGATATAATATAGTAAACTTTGCAATACCAGATGGTAAATTCAGATGGTAACAGATTAGCAAATTCATTTGCTTAGTACTGACACTTTATTCAGGTACTAGGCAAATGAAAAAAATGATTCTATTGCATGAATTAAAATAATAAATAATAAAACCATTAAATATGTAGTTAAATAATGTTAAAACGGCATATTTGTAGCATTTATGTATAAAAAAAATATATTTTTTTCATTCGATCAGCAGTAGCACGAGTGTTAATACCTTAGATACCTTAGCTTACTTCTTAAAAAAGATACCTAATATGTTGCATGTGCTACACTTCATAATTGTAAATATCCACATTTTTGTTATTTTGTATTATCAAACAAGACAATGTTGCAATTTCATAAAACGTCTATAGATGTTGGGATTTTAATTTCTTTATTTAGGATGTTGAAGTTTTAGAGAGACCTAAGATTTTAAATTATGGTCAGCCACTTACTACTTTTAGATCAAATTAAGTTACTAGTTATCAATTAATTAAGGATCATATGGCAATAGCCATTTTCAATAAGTTGTAGCATTAAAATGACCATAAAACATATGACTTAATTTGGTTGGTTGTGTTTGGATTTTGATACATTTCTATATATTTCAAATAATAACTGACCAGTATTGTCTAGACATATAAAATTTTAAATAGGTTTTTTTCTTTCTTTTACAGGAACTTTTTGTGCAGTCATTAGCAAAAGAAGCATATACTTTCACTCAGCAAGCAAAGAAAAAAACATTACAGAAGAAAGACATAGGTTTGAAATATTTAAATCTTTTTATAGTTGTTTTTTTAAAATCAAATTTCTCAGATCTCACTTTTGCACGATTAAAAAACTAGTCTTAAAAATTATCAATGCATGACCCCACAGTAAAGTTCTGATCCTGTTCTCGTTGTGAGTCCTTGCTAAGATGCCCATATTAAAAGTAATTTGTTATTTTTATTTGGACTTTGTATTAGAATTTTGTCAGTTAAGAAATATCTAAGGAAAAAGTCATCAGTCTTTGCTTTGGCTTTATGACAGGAAATTTAATATATTCTACATATAACAATGACTATACAAATGCTATATGAAGCTAATGGTCATAGCTTCAAAACTGAAGCAATCTGAATCAGAAGCCCTTGGTAGGCATATTATGCACTTTTTCAATTGTATAGTTGAGAACTTGCTCCAGACACATTGCCATTTTATGAAGGAGGTAATTCTAAGAAATACAATAAAAATTTATAAGATATGTCAGACAGTGCCGGCCCGTGGCAAGTTTTAGGATGGAGCGAGATCCTATTATGGCGCCCCCCTTGGTTGCTCCTAATTTATACCCTTTAATTTTCTTTACCACTGAGGCGTCCGATAGGACTTAGCGCCTGGAGCGGCTGCTCCGTTCGCCCTATGGTAGGGCCGGCTCTGATGTCAGATGTGGAACCACCGAGCACCAGAAAAAAATCTGGTTGTTCAAGGACCGTGTTGATGCCCAGAGTGGTATAAAAAAAAACAAATTATTGAAAACCTAAATGTCTCTGTCAGAACGGAGCCTGCAAACTTGGGTTATCAAAGATGATCTACAATTAGATCAAAATCAATAATCTAAAAAATCATACCAAAAAGGCAGACATCAAAGTACTCTGTGGATTGGGAGCAACAGCAAAATAGAACTGTAGAAAAATTTACCAAAATACTTGGTCAGAAATACAGTTTGTTTGATGATAGATGGCAAAACATATGTGCTTATCAATTGGGATCAAATTCTTCGAATGGAATACTATCATTGTAAGAACAAATCTGATGTTCCTGACCAAAATTGCTTTAAACCAGGGATTCCCAACCCTTTTCATGTATTGACTCCTTTTAAGACATATTGACTCCATATTGACAATTTTTGGTTGCTTTTCTTCTGTATGAAGAACATGTTAAAATTGAATGTGAAAAATCCAATTTTATTTTAAACTGTGACAGAAGGCAGGGGTTGTACTTCATAGTGTGAAAATCACCAAAGTGGAGATAAAAACTCCAGTCCATTTATTTTGAGATTTGGCATGAAATTGAATCACAAAGTGCACTTCCAAAAAAACAGCAGAATGTCAAGCTGCAATGGGAGTCTCATGCACCACACTTCTAGTAATGTTATGAGTCACACTTCAAATTTAGATAGGAAAGCAGGAAGTGATGTTAAGAACCAAACAATTATGAAGCATAAGACTAGTGTCAAAATTTCAAAGCAATTGGTTAAGAACTTTTGGAGATTTAAGATTTTGAACAACAGCTATTTTATTCTTTTCCTTTATAAACAGCAATGCATTTCAGATTAAACTTTTTTAATTCCTCCTCGGGCTATAAATTCACAAAGGAATGCATAAACAAACTTACAGATATATTAATTACAAAATATAAGATACAAAACACTAACCTTCCAACAAATTAGTCATACAACTTGTTTTCTCTCCCAGTTTGCATTTACAATATAGTTGAGAAGTATTTCATACCATACAGGATTAATCTCCAATCTGTGATTTAAATTAAGTCAATTTTTACATTGTATTATTGCAATATGCTCTTTAAACCGTAGCAAATATACATCTTTTTCTCTTTATAGTATTTTAATATTACCTGTATTAATTTCACAATTATTGTCTTCACAATGAGGGAAGCATGGGGACTGATGATATTTTAATTGAATGGCTGCTTCATGTTCCTTCAGTCCCACCCTTAATATTTGTTTAGTTTGTCCTATATAATTTACTACAAGAACAATTTAACTTATACAGTACACAACACCTGAAAAATTTATACTGTATTTTGCAATTTAATTTACATTAAAATCCACTTTATTCTTTAACTTTGCAGACAATACTATGTCATTTAGTAATTTTACTATGTAAAAAAATTTTTATATTTTTTGAATATACCCTGTATATAAGGAATGGATATGTATTTATCATTCTGTTTTTTAAATTTAATCTTAAATCTATTTTCTTTATAAGTTTTAATCCATTTTGCCAATAATCTATTTGGATAGCCATTTAGTATAAATTTCTTAATTAACTATTGTTGTTGTTTTAATCTATCTTTTAACATTGTTCTCTTGCCAATTTTTGATAAAGCTGTAATAAAATTATTTATTCATGTTTCTAAGTCTATATTCGGGGGATCTTGAATAGTCTGGTTATGCATTACGTCAAATTTGATTGTGTACAATACGTATTGTATTGATTGATTATAAATTTTACAAAGAAAATTATTAGTTAATTAAAGATTTAAAATTAATCAAAAAATACTTAATTCACAAATGCTGTTTAATATTAAATACATATAAGTTATTATGTTACCTGAAATATTGATGTGGTTTATAGAATTTTTAATTTTGCAATTTCCTTTTCAGAATCTTCAGTTGGTGTAATTGATGCATTTGTGTTTTTAGAAGGTAAATTTGATTTTTGGAAAATATTTGAGATAATTTGTGAATAATTTATCTGATTCATAAAAATTTCAATTAAATTTAATTGGATGCAATTTTTTCCCTTTAAGAAAATACTTGCTTAATGTATAAAGTATTAGTTTAACATAAAATTAATGATGATATAAATAATCTTAAAATATTCTGCAATTACGTATTACGATACTTTTCATTAAGATCTTTGACTTTTTAGTTAATTATTCATGCATTGAGAATCATCAAAGATTTTCAAATAATAATCATCATTTATAAATCAACATGCTCCAAGAAAACCTTTAACGTGCAGCTTAATTTTGCTACCAACTAACGTTTTTGGACAGCTTCACTGACCTTCTTCGGGTTCGAAAACAAAAACAAAAAAACTTCATTTGAGATGAATGTTCTTTTTCTTAACGGAAACTTCTAGAATGTGTATCTTTTAATTCAAATCATCGTAGATTCGAATTGCGTCGGCTTGTTCTTTAAATTTGCAAATTCGCCACTTTCCGTGCCGATGCTAGTTTACGTGATTCCCGAAAATTTATGGCTTGCCCGTTTTTGTTGTATTTATTAATATACCATGCTTCTGTATATTTTAGATGCTGTATGTTTGAAACTTTTTGTATAAGTTCTGCTTTATCCCAGTCAACCGAAACCTCTGCTGGTTCTGCGATCACGTAATTTGCTAATGCCGTGACCGATTGTTCATACCTAATATCCCCTTTATGCTCTTTCAACCTTTTGTTAATCAATCTTTTTGTGGCCCCTATATAATGAAGCTCCTTTTGGCACCTTTTATCTTGTAACGGTATTCTGTATACCCCTGGAACCAGTTTTTTTGTCTATGGGTGCTTTATCATTTCATAGCATTTGAAAAATCATGGAGTTCCTCTTACAGACTATTTTCTTATTACTTGCTATACCTATTTTCTTGTATATGCTGGTTAGTGGCACCCTGTACTCCATTTCGGTGAACTCTTCCTCTTTCTTCTTATCCCTGCATACAATGCCGTCTTTTGCGCTTTCTGTATTAATGAATCTTCTATGTATAAATCTTCCTGAGCATGTTGATTTATGATAGTAAGTGCAGTTTGAGTTTTAGAAGTTATAACCATCATTTATAATTTATGGAATTTAAAATCTTCTTACGTGAATACTGGAAAGCATATAAATTAACACTCCTAAACCTTAAACGTCCAGTAGTAAACAATTTAATAGCAAACAAACGTTTTCGACCGTACTTTCGGTCTTCATCAGGTTTAAAACCAGTGAGATTTGAACCAGTGAAAGCGTAGAACAACGATTATGAAGTTATTTTGAAAAATGGAACAGCACAAATGGATTTTAAAAGAATACAGTTATACATGTGCATTGCCATGGTGACGGAATGGCAATCCATATGCCATTCCGTACCAAAAGACAACATAACCAGTGCTGGATTTATCTCATTTTGCAATTTTCAAGTTGATTATGACATGTTTGATACATTTACAACACAGTGACACATGCACTTAAATTTATGAAGATATTTAATATTCTCATGTTCACTATTATCATTTATTTTTAAGGCGTAATATAATTTTGTTATCACTCTGTATGGAGTAGGTTTTGCCACGCCATGGAAAGGCCGATAAAATTTGAACATCGACCGTCGAATTAGAACAATTTCAATCTTATCTCGTGACGGATTAAGCGAATTGAACGATTCAAACTTTACGAAGTTCGGATTTATTCAAACATCGTGTCTTCGTTTTTTGCTGTTCGATCCAGCTGTTCTCCTGATGAAGAACCCAGAAGGGGTTATGAAAACGTTTGGTTGTTGAATGAACAATTGGATACGCATCGGTTACAGGTTCTCTAAGTCAGATTTAATGTATTTTATGAAGATAATATTAGTGTCAGCAAGGCATGCTTTACTTCATCAACAACTGAAGCTTTAATGAAACTAAAATAAACATGTTAAACAACTTTGTAGAGGGCTTTCCCTGTTTCTTTTTGTATTGATCAAATCCTAAAAGTAGAATTTTCCAGAAGCAGATGATATGATACTGGGCATGCATAGTCTCTACTTTGAATATATTTTGCATTTTTATTTATAATTCTTATAAGGATTTTGCAATTTTATAGTAAAGGGTAGCAGATTGCAAGTTGTCAGTTTGAGTATTATTGACAACTTAGTCTACTATATTATTATTGACTCTCCCTCCAAGTTGACTCTGCCATAAAACAGCATGCCAATGCATTGTTTGATGTTATCCAAAAACAAAATGTAGTGTTTATATGCACTGTAATCAACATAGGTACATTTTCAAACAAGTGACTACATACAGGCGAAAAAAAGTGCCTAGCAGCTTGCAACTTTGGTAGTACAGTTTAGTAATTATTGAAAATATAATTGTACCAGTATCTGTTGCACCTGCAAAACTATTGTTTTCTAAGTTAAAAACTAATCGAGAACTACCTTCACTCATCAGTGCGTCAGGAGATACTTGCTTCACTTTTAGCCTTGTCCATTGAAAGATATACTTCAGAACTGGAATTTTCTCTGCAATTGATGTTTTCAGCATGGCTAAAAGTGGAGAACAATTTTGTAAGCAAATTTCTGCACACTTGTTGAATTTTGCAATTCATTGTAAAACTATTATAAACATATTTATTACTTTATTGTGTGTTTCTATATTAAAAATGTTCATATTATTATAGACCTAATAAATCTCTTCTCCTGCATCACTCTTTTAATGGGATTTCAAAAGTAAATTTTACCTAGAATTATCGCTGTTTTTGGATGATGTCGAACGTTGATTGATGTGTTGTGTGTGGTGGAGTTGACTTCGAGGATGGTGCAGTCTTCACTTTTCTCACGTGATGAAACCAATGAAATGCCCACCTTATTTTGCTGTTACAGCAGAGTTTGTACTTTATATGTGAGCCATTGCCCGACCCTTTTGTTGGTAAAACACCCTTACGATAGGTTTCAAAGTAAAGTTACTCATTGCTCTCATTCTTCTGTCAGGATGACACGAGAGAATGGAGACTTAAGGAGGCAGTGGTTACAGACACAGAAACATATACACAAATGTACAATTATAATTGTGTTGATTTTTAAGGAAAAATTATTACAAGTAGTCGAAACTGATGCTTGAAATGTGGTAGTCCAGGTGGGAGATAATGTGAGAATATAGATTTTTGATCTTGTTTGGGTGACTTTCGGGGCTCTCGATTGGTTGTTTGGATGACACTGGATGGTCTGGTCGGGTCGACAGATGTCTGTGAGGTACGACTATCCAATATTGACACGATTCTCAGCAACGACGACCTTGGAAATTCTCGGTGGCAGCAACTCACTCGAGATTCTCAGTGGCTATGAACATTCTGTACAATGGTAGTGACTCACACTTGTCCTTGGATGTCAGTTCTCTTTATACAATTTGGACTCAAAATCTGTGATTTGGATTGGTCAAAATTCAACTCTTCCTTTTGCATTCATTGGCTCCTGCTGTTGCTAGTGGCCAATGAATGCAAAAGGAAGAGTTGAATTTTGCACAGGCATCTCCCTTATTACCAAGATGTGCTATCACTTCCTCCAACATTCACTTACAAACCCCTGGGGTGATGGGGAGGGAGGTTTTTCTCACTTCAGTTGGGACATCTGGACCAATTATCTAATTATCGTGTAAAGTGTTTTCCTCATCTTTTGTATATTTAAGCTGGAAATTGCCTGTTTTATGAATCTTGACTTTTTCATCAATCATTTTCCCAGCTTAATGGTGTCATGGTGAGAGATTACTCTCACCATGACACCATCTCCCACTCTGAGTTTGACAAATACATTAACTTTTACAACTGTTTTTGAAGATTGCAAAAAAGGAAAGACAAACATGTAAACAAGTGAAAGGGTTTTGGATCTTGCATGTACAACTGATGTGTTTGTGACAAAACTTTTCAAATTGAAAACTTGCCAATGCAAATAAATTACCCTGTATCTATCTATATGTATGTGTGTATATTTAAAGCAAATTGTTGGGTTGGTTGTTTTTGGACGTGTGAAAACTAATGACCAGGGGTCCAATCAGGTTACACCTACATGTGGGCGTGAGATTCAAGGACATCTTTGTTCGGGTTGGTCGAGCAGTAGGTGACCGGAGTCCAGTCCAGACCAATTATAACCACCAAACTTTTACAAGGTAGCTTCAAAGTTTCCAGAAATATGTTGGGTTAGTCAATTAAAGTCAATGAAAAAGAGAACCTGTAATTCATGTCTTAGTTAAACATGTCAGAAATAGAGAAACGTGTTCAAACAAATCCATACTCTCTGCAAAGATGATGATAGTTACCATTCACCGAAGATCGTGTTAGTGAGACGACATAAAATGGAGTCTTGTGAAAATGTCTGTGGAAGAACAACTTGTGAATATCAAATTTTGTGTGTTATTGGAAAAAAACCTGAGACCTTGAAGATGCTTCAGGATGTCTGTTGAATGTTCCACAAAGCATTCTCAAGTTTATGACTGGCAAAAATACTTTTGTGAGGGATGAGTGTGTATCACTGTTGATTTGCAAAATGGTTGTCGTCAACATTGACGTCCGAGGAGAAAGTGTCCGTTGTATGCGAAATTGTGAGGTCGGACAGCCAGCAGTTAATTGAGCAGATTGTCAAGACAGTAGGAATTTCAGTTGGAAGTTGTCATTCCATCCTGCACGATCAATTGAACATACACCAAGTTTGCCAACACGTGGTGCCACAAATGCTCAAGGCAGACCTCATGCAATTTTTACCTGTTTACCCAGTTGGAAGAGGATATAAGGGATGTCACTTCAAGAATGCAGACGAGATTATACAGAGCGCAACATCTGCATTGCAGGCGCTGTCGCAAGACAGCTTCCAATAATGTTTTCGGCAGCTATACCAGCATTGGTAAAAGCATGTGGTTACCAAAGGACACATTGCTTGATTTATCAATTGTAGTTATTACTCAAACTTTTGAGTAATAAATCAATTCTGGAAACTTTTTGAAACTATCTTGCATATTAGACTGAAAAGGAATAAATAGATTACAGGTCTAACTTCAGAAGATACTAACACAAATTTTTTTCCTATATTAATTGCATGAATTAAATTTCAAATGAAATCAATAAATTATGCAAATTGTCCATAATAAGTGTAAAATAGTTGTTGTTTGTACACAAATTTGAAAATGCCAATATTTATTTACAAGCATGAGTATAATTAAAATTCCACACTACCAAACACTGGAGTAAAGTTAATTACGTACCTAAAATCATGTTACCGGTGTGAAATTAACATCAAAAAACAAAAAATTAGATTTCCACAAACGTTTTTGTTCCTTCCGCATGGTTCTTCTTCAGGCGGCAATGAAATTCCATTAAAAAAGAAAGAACGTTATTCGAAATTCGAATATGTTTACCCGATGATGTCTTATTCACACCAGTAACAGGCTTTGAGGTACATAATTATAATTAAAATTTGGAAATATTAATATTTGATTTTCTATTTTTTATAGGTGTTTTGGATTGAAATTGCAACTCCAAAGTCAGAAAATTCAACCTTCGGCCGGAAGAGCAAACTCTTTTGGCAGATTGGCATTTTAAAAAGTGCGTACTACGTGTAAAGTTAATATTACGTGTTGTGAAGTTATAATCGGTCGATAATAGTAAATGTAATAAAAGATCAGAGAGAATTGTTTTAAGTTCATGTTTGAAATTTTGTTTAATATGCATTTGTATATTTTTACTCTATTTTTATAGTTTTCTTTGTATGTGTAGTTTAGTAAAATTGTGTACACTTCATAAAAAACATGAATGTGTTATTTATTCTAAAAGATCATATCTATTTTGTATTACGTATAAATATTTACATTTGAATTACAATGTATTAATTTTTGCTGTATAATTTTGCAAAGAGTGATGAAAGTAAATGCACTATGCAATTTTCCTTATTAAAGTGAACCTAGAAAAAAATGCACCATTTAGAAGGATGGAGAACCTTTGGATAAAAATGAAATTATCTGTAGTTTATGGCAAGGAACCTTGCAAAAGTGTAAGAGTTTTTCTTGCATTAAGTGAAACCAAATGAATGTCAAACTGGGAAACTTATTTGATTAGTTGCAAATATATTGAAATTATTATAATACGGATGACACTAATAATTGAGATTTTATTTTGAATCTCCGAAAGTTACACCAAAACAGTTGCAACTTAACGTAAATTAAGTCATTGCTATCCATGGGCCAGACAAGTAAATTACCAAATCATATTTTATGATGCCGTAATCATTAGTTTTCCACGAGTGACATCTGCACAGTTAGCGAGTCTTAGAAATTTCAGGAAAAACAAAAAGTTGACCAGATTTGCTCGGTGAGGAACTCTACATAAAAATGTAGTTTTTGTTTTCTTATTTGGCATTGTTTGCCGAATTTCGTTGTAGAAAACTCATCTTTATATAAATAAGGTTTTCATTAATGCACTAGGTAATTATTTGAAATAATGAGTTTTAGCATGCTCTTATTAAACTGTGATTTATATAAAATCTTTGTTTCACTGCAATACTAGTACAGAATAATTTTGGTTTTAAAAAGACAAAAGTCAGAAAAGAATGACGACAATAATGTAAATAATAAAGCTAGAATTGTGAGCAAGGAGATTTTATGCAAATAACACCAGAAACAATAAAACATTTTATCATCATTGGATAATAATGACACCAACTTAATTATTTCTGATTTCATTCTTAACACAAACATGAAGTTTTTAAAATTAGTCAATTCAACTCATAATTCAAATATAGGAAAGTATTTTGATTTTACTAAAATATCATTTGTACATATTATCATTATAATTTTATATAAATAGATAAAATTTAGTTTTTTAGTTAGTATCTGCAACAGTATGTAGTTATATTTAATGACAAGCTTGATTGAAGTTAAGTCAAACTTGATGTATATATTAGCAAATTAAAACCATCTATTAAAATATCTCATTTCAAAACCAATCATTTTGCATGTTGTTTGTTTTTTTTTTTTGATGTGCCGCGTCCGTGTAGTATTGGTCGACATAAGTAGACCTAGGTGGCGAGACTTTGCCTCTGATAGCTTTTTTTTTTGTGTGAATATGGGAAAATTTAAGGCAAACAGGAAGGGAGCAAGGTATCAATTGTCAGATAGTAATAAGTAAGGAAGTGACAAAAAGAGACAAGTAAGTAATATGCCATTCAAGAAAAGAACATTAGGAGATTACAGTATAATGACAGTGTGCATCCCCTATAAAGATTATCCATTAAGAAATTAATTTTGGGAATTTAACATCAAACTGAAACACAAGAAACAATGAATTGTTTTTGTCAAGAAAGGTTTTAGAACAGCTGCTATTGAAAATTCTCATATGTTAAGTAACAATTAGTACAACCGATTAGCATCTTTTACATAAAAATGACAAATACATAAATGACTAAAAATAGAATTAAAAAACTATGTACAGAAATTTACATGGTGGTTACCATGTAAATTTCTGTACATAGAAGTTAGATTAACCAATAATCCAATGGATAAAATGTGGACTGTTTAACAGGATTATATTTTCTTATTAGTAATGCTTTTCAAATAAAAACCAGTACAGGATATACAATTAATACCATGCATAGACAATGGCAAATCTACCAGAAAAACTTATTAATGAACAAGATCTCTGAAAATCAAATTAAAAAATTCATAGCCAGCCAATGCCACTTAACAAAATAGCTTTTAAAACTTGCACATCAGTTTGTAAAACAATAAAAGAAAAACAATGGCAACAAAAGACTTCTACTATGATTTTATGAAAATACAGTGACTTTAAGAACATCTGAATCAACTAGTTTTGATAAGCAGCAGCAGCTTTCGATAAGAACCAATTAGATAAGACTTTAAGCTAACCAACACAATGGATAATACACAACCCAACACAACACAAAATATTGGTCTGATTGGCATTAAAATGCCAATCAGACAAATATTTTGTGTGTCAACACTAATTGACCAAAGTTTTGTCAGTTAAAGGGAGGAAAAAAAGCCAAGAAGTTACATCTGGGAAAGAGGTAGAAATATCACCTCACTATTCTCTTGTATGTTAATGCTGTCAGTAATCAGTTCGTCCAGTCACTTTGTATTTCCATGTATAATGGACTATGATTTAAAAAAGGTTTACTGTTAGTAATTGTTTTTGCTGGTCAATCAAATAAATGGATAGCAAAAAATGAATTACTAAAACAATTGCAATTTTTTGTGGAATGAATTCACTCAAGTGAGGAAAGACTTGTTCTATTGATTGTGAATGAACCTGCCAGTCGTAAGGATCTTAATTTTACTTGCAAAGAAATATCGTTTGCTCGGCTTACCATGCATGTGACACGCAAATTACGACCATTAGATGCAGTGGTGATGATGTAATTTAAAACTGTTTTGGATGAGAAAATATCTAATGCAGAAAATAGCATTAGTAGACTTAGCTGGCTGGTAAATTTTGTCTTTTCTGAGATTTGTCAAATGAAACTTGTTCAATCGGCATTCTCCCTTACGTGGAGGTCTCTGTTCAACAGCAACATTTTCAAAGATTTGGATTGTCTTTCTGAGAATCTTCACAGCTCTTCAACAAAGCTGATCTATCATCCACTCTAACTGGCAATTTATCCAGACTCTCAAATCTTGCAGTTCACCAAATAATCTTTACTGTATCTCCAACACCAAAGTTGGGATGTTAAACAGCAAATTTACAATAAATTAATTTTGGATTGATACAATAATGGGACATTAACAATAAGGTATAAAATGAAAGTGATAAAAAAAAACCTCAAATTTGAATAATAAAATGATAAACCAAATACAATGACAAGATACCTGAAATAATAATATAAAATACAGTAGCAAAAGTTAAACTAAGAAAAATATAAACTATATACAATTAAATGAGAGTTAATAAAAATAACAATAATAATAAAACCTAGATAAATTATCATAGTAGTCTGTTCACCATGGATTGAGGAACCATAGCTGTAACTTAACACATCAATGGACACGTGTGTGTGTAGTACCCCTTTGATGATGGTGAGCAGAACAAAATTGTTCTTGTTGTCCAAGTAGATGCTAAGATTCTGTGACCACGCAACACCTTTCACCTGCATCTGAAGGAGAGTATCTTGCTTAATTAATGTCATTCAGCATGATGCATGAGAATAAGCAGTTTAAAACACCATCCTGCACACCACAAAAATCACACACATTAGTGTTCCTTTTGTCAAAGTGGAACAGATACTTAGTGGCCATCCATAAATTATGTAAGGGTGATTTTGGCCATTCTAGACCCCACCCACCCCTGTGTAAGAAACTGTAATATTTTCTTTGATTCCCTCCCCTTCCCTATCTTACGTAATATTTAGGCATGATTTTATAGAAAAATTTTAAGAAAAAAATATTTTTTATGAAATGCTAAAAACCTTAAGTTCAAAATATATAATTATTAATTAATTAGTTAATTAATATGTACTATTATTTATAAAAGACTTTATGCGAACAAATTTAAAAATATAAAATAAAAATTTAATGAATTTGACTGAACAATTTATTTTAAGAACTTTATTTCTTAATTATTAACGATATTATTATTATTATTCAATGTCCACACAGCAAACAGGTAGAAATGCTGGTTATCAAAAACATAAAACCACAAGTCAAACATTTCCCAAGCATTTAAGATTGTGATATATCTTCGAATGATGCGAGCAGATCCAAGTAAGGTGGCCTTTTTCAGCTGACAGATAGTAATTTTGTCAATATTTATGGCTTGTAAGTGCTGACTAAGATCTTTTGGCACAGCCCCCAGTGTGCTGATAATCACTGGACCACCTGTACTGGTTTATGCCAGAGACGTTGCAGTTCAAGTTTTAGGTCATATTGACTAAGTTTTTCTTGTTCTTTTTGGCAATTCTACTGTCGCCCGGTATGGTGACATCTACCGTGTTTCCCCGAAAATAAGACATCCGCAGAAAATAAGACCTAGCACAGATTTTGCTGAATTGCGAAATATAAGACCTCCCCCTGAAAGTAAGACCTAGCGAAGTTTTCTTTTAGTCCTAACGGTCATCGACAGATGGTTGAAAGTACAGCCACTGATTGGTCAGCAGACAATTACACCACACGGCATGATTTGCATAAGACTATGGCTTGGGAATCACAGATTTGCATAACGTTACGGCTGGTGATGCTAATTGGTCGGCCGGGAATCACGCCACATGACATTTACATAGTGCTACGGTTCAGTAAGCACTAATTGGTCATCGAGTCCGATGTTGACGCTATAAAAAGGCGACAGTTCGACACACCGGATATACGTCACTTTCGTCTAAGTTCGACTTGGGAATTTTTTTATTCAATAATAAATGTGAATTATTCTTCCTGGAAAAAATAAGACATTACCTGAAAATAAGACCTAGCGCACTTTTCAGAGCAAAAATTAATATAAGACACTGTCTTATTTTCGGGGAAACACGGTATGATCAACACTTTTCTTCTCCACAATCGCAAAGTCTGGCGTATTATGTTCCAGAACTTTATCAGTCTGAATTCGGAAGTCCCAAAGTATTTTGACACAATCATTTTCAACTACTTTTTCGGGATTATGTTCCCACCAATTTTTTCCTATAGGTATATGATAGTTGTGGCACAGGTTCCAATGGATCATTTTGGCCACAAAATTGTATCTCTGTTTATAGTCTGTCCGTGCAAGTTTTTTGCAACAGCTGAGAATATGATCAATAGTTTCATCAGCTTCTTTACACAGTCTGCATGTTGGATCATCAGCAGATTTTTCGATTCTTGCCTTGATTGCGTTTGTTCTGATTGCTTGTTCCTGGGCCGCAAAAATCAGGCCTTCTGTCTCCTTCTTCAATGCTCCATTAGTAAGCCATAACCAGGTTCTTTCTTTATCCACTTTTCCTTCACTTTTGTCCAGGAACTGTCCATGTAATGCCTTATTATGCCAGCTGTCAGCTCTAGCTTGTAATGTAGTTTTCTTATACTGATTCTTTGTCTGCTGTGCTTTAAGGAGTTTTCTATTATTGACAGCAATCAGTGCAGGCTCCCTACAGTCCTTGACATATTCTGCCAGTGCATATTTTTCTTCTTCAACAGTTCGTTTTACTTGTAATAGGCCTCTACCACCCAACCTTCTAGGCAGATACAACAGGTCTACATCGCTGCGCAGGTGTAGTGAACAATAAACGGTCAAGAGTTTTCTTGTTTTTCTATCGAGATTGTCCATTTCTGCTTGTGTCCAGTTTATAATACCCACAGTGTATCTTATGACAGGTATAGCCCAGGTGTTCATGGCCTTGATGGTATTGCCTCCATTGAGCTTGCTTTTGAGAATCTTTCTAATCCTCTGAGTGTACTCTCTACTAATGACAGTTTTCACTTGCTCATGCCTGATACTGTCCAGCTACAGTATGCCCAGGTATTTATAGGCTTCTGGCTGGTGGCACTTTATTATTATTATTATTATTATCATTATTAATCAATGTCATAATATTTATTTTTATATTAATTTTAATTTTCACAAAAGGACGCAAAAAACTTTGATAGATCGACAAGCTAGTGCATGTGTAAACGGAAACGTCATACAAAATTAAACAAGAGAAAAGAAACCACATTCCGTTGCCATATTAATTACATCTTGGATAAGGTCAATAAATAAACTACATGCTGCTAAAATGCACTAGGTGCACCTGGGGAATAAATCATAAAGCTTGTAAATCTATATAACGGGGCAATACAACCAATGCTACTTTATGTGGCCTCTAGTTGGGGTCATGTAACTAGTAAAAATTCAGTTGCAATAAATTACTCTATCTTCAAAGACAGTTTGCCATCAGAATTTTGAAGTGCTGCAGAACTGTTTCTACTAATGCCTCTGATACTAGCAGAGCTGTATTGTAAGAAAAGGTTCTAAACTACTACATCAGAACTACAAACATCAAGGCTCAACAACAGTCTCTACTCCTATCTATGGCTGTTCATATGCTACCACATTGCAATTACCCTACTAAATGTGATCATCAACCTGTAAACAAGGTGATGATCACATTTAGTGTACACAAGGTATATTTGGTGTCATCTGCTTCATGCAGACATTAATATCTACACAGATAGGTCCAAAATCTCCCTTCATTGTTGGCTCAAGTATCTCTTTCTTCCTCCAAACTGACATATTTTTGGCAAAATATGTTAGAAGATACAGATAATTCCCACATACCTCCATCTCAAATTATCAAGATGCTGACTACCAAGCTGTTCAGTGGGCCACTTCACTACCAAACAAAACTCTGTCTATCAACATTTACAGTGATTCTCAGTCTGTCCTAAAAACTCTATTAAATCCCAATTGC